CTGCAGCTCTTCATGTTCACTCCTGAGAGATCCCCACCATGGCAGTATTTGGAAATATAACAGTGCCTTTGTGATCATCATGTGTATGCATGTCTGTTTGTATGCATATACCTGTGTGTGTGAGTTGGTGTTATAGCTCAGGTGTCAGACTAGTCTCCTAGGTTGATGAATCAGTTGAGAGACATGTCAGCAGCTCCATCTCAGATACAGACCCTTGATTTATAATGTAGGTGCCCAGGTATGTCACCCCAGCATCAGGTGTGGGCTAAGGGGTATGCTTGGCCCTTGATGGATCCTAGGGCACATCGATGGTGTTGGTCTCCAAGAGAAATGAATACTAGTGTGAAGAAAGAGACCCTGGGATGAGGTTAAATCAGAGAGAGTGGTATTGTAGAGAACAGCATCCATGCAAAAGGTTTATAGTGAATGTGATAAGGAAATTCTGTGGGAGGCGGCACAGTGTCCTTCTGGAGCAAAGATAAGGTGTCCTCTAGGGAAGGGGGAGGATGCTTGACTGTGTGATTATGAGGAAGGGGATAGGGGTCGGAACCCAGGGAAAACATGTCACTGAGAGGGTGACTTAAGGAAAGGAGGCTGGGCATCTTTAGAGGGGGCCTGGTTTTGGTGGTTGAAAGCTCAGGTCCAGGGAGAAGCTCAGAAATATTTCCAGAAGCGGTGGGGGCCCCAGGTGAGTGAGGGTAGCTGTGATTGGCAGGGTAGGTGGTCCACATTAAAGGAAACATAGAGCCTTGTGGTGGTGACTTTTCTATCTAGCTTGTCCTTATGATAATTCTTATTATTGAATATTGTCTGCCAGATCTGGTGAGAGTGAAACAACCAACACCTGAAGACCCTCCTCTAGAGTCCTTCCCTTAAAGTCTAGAAATGAGGTTCGACGTAAAAATGGTTGAGTTGAGGACACAAAATGATAAACCAAAAGAAAAGAGAGCATTATTTCTGATTGAACAAAGAACACTTTATTGAGTGTTGCCTGGGTTCAAGGGGAAAGGCTGGGATGACCCAGATGGGAGGCAAGATCCTCCTGGAGGTCCTGAGGCTCCGGGCCCCCTTAGGTGGGCGGGGGGCATGGGGAACCTAAGAGCACTCTGCGGGGGCCACCTTCTTCTCCACGGTGCTCCCCTCGTGCGTGACCAGGCAGCTGAAGCTGCTGTGGGATTTCCACTTGTCAGGCGTCAGGCTCAGGTAGCTGCTGGCCGCGTACTTGTTGTTGCTCTGCTTGGAGGGCTTGGTGGTCTCCACGCCCTGGGTGACGGGGCTGCCGTCTGCCTTCCAGGCCACCGTCACGCCGCTGGGGTAGAAGTCGCTGATGAGGCACACCAGGGTGGCCTTGTTGGCGCCGAGCTCCTCAGAGGAGGGCGGGAAGAGTGTGACCGAGGGGGAGGCCTTGGGCTGACCTGTGGGGACGGAAGGCCAGCGGGTCAAGGCAGATGTTTGTTGTGTCAGCACCTACCTGAGTCCTGATGTGGGGCTACAGCTGTGTCCTGTCCATGTCTTGGGCCGCAGGCGGCCCTTGCTCCTAGAGGTCAAGTCAGCCATGGGTGGGCTCACCCACCTTCTGCTGGAGAGAATCTGAGTGACAGATCCTCTAGTTTCTGGGCCTCTGCATGGCCCCAGGGTCTCTCCACATCATATATCCTTCTAATCTACTCAGTCTACCCCCAAGACTAGATGTCAATGACCCCGAGACCCTGCTTTCTTTCTCACTCTGTGTGTGCTTGGACACAGGTCTCAGGTGACATCCCCCAGGTCGCTTACCCAGGATTTCCTAGAGCTGGCATCTCTGGGTTGCAGGGCTCTGTTACCCATGTGAAGAGTCTGTTTCCTGCCTCCAGGCCACCTCATACCTTCACAGCAGCCTTGCCCACCTCCCTAGATACCCACCTTCTAGGGTTGCTGAATGGGATGGGCTGTGAACTCTGGTTCTTGAACGCAGGGAGTCCAGTAGGGGAAGTTTTTCGTGTCAAGTGAATTTCCAGTTCTGAGGATGGGGCTGTGTCTGTTCTGAGGGTCTCCCTCTTCTGTGAAAACCTGGCGGTCTATCTCTCCTAGGATTCCCGGGTACCTAGCAGTACTATCTCCGTCACCTGTCCCTATCAGGGACCTCGGGTCCAATATCTTCTCAGGGGCTCTCCAGATGTAGTGGGCTTTGCGGGGATGGACCTCTGCTGCCAGAGTTTCCTAGACCGGTCCTATTCTTGGTGTCTAAGTATCCCTACATGGTGGATGGTCCCATCACCCTGGGCTCCATTCTCTCAAGTCCTTGCTTTATCCTTTACCCCTTGTCCTGCTTCCCCCTCCTTGTCTCCGAGTCCCCATATCAAGGCTCTCCTCATTGTGCCCATGCAGCCCTCTGCCCGGGACCCCCCTCCGCCAGAGACAGAGGCCAGCACCTGAGCAGCCCCCACAATCCTTCCATCACCTTATAGCCCTGCTGGCAGTCTGAGCATCCCTCTTCCTTATCCATCTCCCCTCATTTCCCCTCACATTCATGATTCTAATAGACCCTGACTGGGGAACCGACCACCCCCTAGTCCAGAGAAGAAGGTCCTGTGGGTAGAGGGCTGGACACACAGTGAGACCTGAGTGTACATCAGGAAGGATTTTGGGGCTGGTCCCCTGCAGCTCCAGTACAACATCTGACAAGGTGGGAGCAGTGGAGGCACGAGGGCCAGACGAAGCGGACGAAAGGCATAGACCCCACAGACCTTTAGCCTCAGCCTTCATCAAGTTGGAAAGGAGAGAAGCATCACCTGAAATTGTAGAGTGGGTGCCAAGGAGGCGAGAAAGGGGTAGACTCACCGAGGACGGTCAGGTGGGTGCCTCCGCCGAACACAGCACACTGTGACACAGCCCCGAACAGAAACCCTCTGTCAGCCCCTCCACCCCTGACCCAGGCCCACCTGCAGCTGCTCGGGAGGCCCAAAGGGCAGCCTCCTTGTCACGGGTGCTGGTTGGGCAGATGGGGGTGTGTGGTGAGGAGGTTGCCCCTGGAGACCAGGAATTTCATTTCCATGGAAGGTTCAGATTCCATCCATCCTCAGTCCTGGGGAGGGGTTGCAGAGGATGTCTGGGTATGTCATCGAAATTCCCAGCTAAGTCCATCGTTAGGGAGGAGCTGTGTGTCTCCTCAGTGTGTGTCAGTATGTCATTGTGGAAGGGGTGAGCAGGCCTGTTTCACACAGGGATATGATGGAGCTGGGACCCCTTTGCAGACTTGGGACTGGTGGGGGAGTGTCCTGAGTGCCACCACATCTACAGCACAGGAGTCTGAGGGAGTTTGGGGTCAGGAATGGGAACTGGATGGGAGGAGAATCCTGTTTCTCCCAAGCAGATAGATCTCTCCACAGGGCCTAAGCTCCAGCACCATTCCTTTGGCAGGATCTTGTGGAAGGTATAGTAGATGGTGAGTGTTTAGTCCCCATACTGAGTTGGAGGAGGGCAGGTGTCACCTGGAGGAGTGTAGGTATGTGGGCTGCTTGTCAGCTGGATAGACCTGCCAGGCCCCAGGTGGGTGGAGGGGCAGTCACTGCTTCCAGAAATTTTGCCCTGAGCCCAAGTGTGAGAGTCTGACAGACACTTTAACCACCTCAGAATCCCACATCCCTCATGTACAGGAAGCATCATTTGCACACGGTGGCCCCACCAGGCAGGACACATACTGTACTCTTACAAGTGACCTTCATGTTGTGGGGGTGTTATGACACCCAGGTCTCTGCCTGCATCATGGCCTGGGGATGTCACCTAATGAGCTCACACAAGGTACATACAGGCCTGGTATCCTTTCTGTGACACAGTGGCCCGCCAGCCAGTAGTCCTGCTGTCCTCCCTGATCTGTCTGCTACTTCCTGTCCAGACTCACTCCCAGGAGCTCATCATGTCATGTCTCCTGTCTCACTCCATCCTGGACCAGAATCTCCCTGGCCTCCTTATTTGTCACTGGATGGCTCTATGGGGACTGCAGTGAGTGACTGGGTTTTCTTTGCTCATGTCCCACGCTGGGACTCTGTGTAGACCCATCCCCCAGGTCTTCCTGAACCTTCCTGAGGGATGCCTACCTTAGCAGTGTTTGGAAATGGACCAGTGTGTTTGTGATCATCATGTGTGTGCATATTGTTTGTATTCATTTGTACCTGTGTGTGTATGTATGTGTCTTACAGCTCAGATCTCACACTAGGTTCCTAGGCAGATGAGTCAGTTGAGAGACTTGTCAGCAGCTCATTCCCTGAATCTGATCCTGGATTTCTAACACAGAGGCCCAGGCAGGTCAAGCCAGCACAAGGGGTGGATCGTGGGTTGGCCTAATCTGAGGGGTCCTAGAAAACATAGGTGGCATCTATCTCCCAGGGAACATCAATACTAGTGGGAAGCAAGAGACACTGGGAGGAGGTGCCACCAGTGGGAATGTGAGTGTGAGTTACGAGGGTCCAGGCAGAGGGCCTTTTAGTGAGTGTGACAGGGACAGTCTGTGGGAGGGGGCACAAACAGCGTCCCTAGGGAACCTGGCAAGGAGGGTCCCCTAAGGAAAGGAGGATGTTCTAGGCTGTGAAGATGGGGAAGGTCCACACGGAGTAGGAATCCAGGGAAAAATGTTACTGAGAGGGGACCTTAATAGGCATCTTAAGAGGAGGGCTACTTCCAGCTGTCGAAAGCCCAGGTCCAGGGAGGAGATCAGCACATATTCCAGAAGCTATGGGGACCTAAGGTCAATGAAGGCAGCTATGACTGGCCGGGCACATGGTCCACACAAAGAAAAGAATGCACCGACCTATTGTGGAGGAGAGTCTTTAATCTTGTTTTGCTACTGGCATATACTGTTCGGGAAAATTCTCCTGCAATTCTTGGCCAATTAATCCCCCACAAAAACATGAGAATGCCTTCTGCTGGCGCCTTTGTACACAGTCAAAGGAATGATGTTCACCCTTAAAGATAGTTGAGATCAGACACAAAGTGTAAAATCCAAATGAGCAGAGAGCGCGATTTCTGATTGAAGGAAGGACACTTTATTGAGTGCTGCCTGGGTGCGGGGAGAAGGGCGGGATGACCCAGATGGGAGGCAAGATCCTCCTGGAGGTCCTGAGGCTCCGGGCCCCCTTAGGTGGGCGGGGGGCATGGGGAACCTAAGAGCACTCTGCGGGGGCCACCTTCTTCTCCACGGTGCTCCCCTCGTGCGTGACCAGGCAGCTGAAGCTGCTGTGGGATTTCCACTTGTCAGGCGTCAGGCTCAGGTAGCTGCTGGCCGCGTACTTGTTGTTGCTCTGCTTGGAGGGCTTGGTGGTCTCCACGCCCTGGGTGACGGGGCTGCCGTCTGCCTTCCAGGCCACCGTCACGCCGCTGGGGTAGAAGTCGCTGATGAGGCACACCAGGGTGGCCTTGTTGGCGCCGAGCTCCTCAGAGGAGGGCGGGAAGAGTGTGACCGAGGGGGAGGCCTTGGGCTGACCTGTGGGGACGGAAGGCCAGCGGGTCAAGGCAGATGTTTGTTGTGTCAGCACCTACCTGAGTCCTGATGTGGGGCTACAGCTGTGTCCTGTCCATGTCTTGGGCCGCAGGCGGCCCTTGCTCCTAGAGGTCAAGTCAGCCATGGGTAGGCTCATTCTCACCTTCTGAGGTGAGAATGTGAGTACCAGATTCTCTAGTTTCTGGTCCCTTCCATGTCCTTAGGCTGTCTGCACATCACGTATCCTTCATGTACATCCAGTGTGCTCCCGGTACAGGTAGGGGTACAGGGGCCCTGAGATCCTGTTTCCCTTCTGAACCTGAGTGTCCTTGGCCATTGGTCTCCAGGTGACTACACCCGTGTCACTTACCCGTGATTTCCTAGAGTCTGGCTCTCTCGGTGACAGGGCTCTGTTCTTACCATGTGAACAGTAGTTTTCCTGTCCCCACACTGTCTCACACCTTCACAGCAGCCTTCCCTGCCGCCCTACCTATCCCCCACTAGAGCCCCTGAGGTTGTAAGTGCAATGAGTGCCTGGAAACCAGGAGGTACAGGAGACGGAAGGATTGTATGAATGAATTTTCATTATGCAGCTGGGATTGTGTTTGATCTGAGGGTGTCCTCTGACCCATGAAGTTATGCTGGTGCATCTGTCTGTCCTTGGATTTCTGAGTGCTGTGTAGGCAGTGTCCCTGTTCTGCATTCCTATCATCCACCCTGGCCCAAATTTCTGCTCATTGGCTTTTAAGCCTCGGAGAGCTGTGTAGGGATGGACCCCTGCTACCTGAGTGTCTCGAGGCTGCCTTGGGTGCGTGACGGTCCATTCTTGGTGTGTGTTCTCTCCCCCTAGGTGCTGGATGGTCCTACCGCACTGGGCTCCCTTATCTGAAGTCCTCACCTTATTCTTGACCCTGAGCTGTACTTTGCCTTCCTTGTCTCTAAGTCCCCATGCCTAGTGTCTCCTCCCTGAGCTTCAGTCAGCCCTCTGGCTGGGATTTCCGCCGCACACAGAGAGAGAGCAAGCACCTAGGCAGGCCCCGGAATCCTTCCATAATCCCATGGCCCTGCTTACAGCTTGAGTATCCCTCTTCCTATCCTTCACCATCATTTCCCTCAGATTCTTGAAGTCAAAGACCCAGAGTGGGGAGTCACAGATGCCCAAGTCCAGGGGAGAAGTTTCCCTCATGGGGAGAGAGCTCGACCCCCAGGGAAGCCCGAGTATAGATCAGGGGCTGCTTCCCCGAGGCACCGAATGGACCTCTGACATGGTTGGAGCAGTGGAGGAATGAGGGGCAGAGCAAGGGGACCAAACGAACAGACCCACAGACCTTGAGCCTCATCCCACATCAGGATTGAAAGGAGACAAACATTGTCAGAAATTGTAGTGTGGAGGGGAAAGAGGAAAGAAAGGGGGAGACTCACCGAGGACGGTCAGATGGGTGCCTCCGCCGAACACACCACACTGTGACACATCCTCGAGCATAAACCCTCTGTCAGCCCCTCCACCCCCGACCCAGGCCCACCTGCAGCTGCTCGGGAGGCCCAAAGGGCAGCCTCCTTGTCACGGGTGCTGGTCGGGCTGAACGGGGGCGGGGTGATGAGAGCGTAGCCACTGGGGACCAGGAATTTCATTTCTATGGAAGGTTCATGTTCCTTCCATCCTGAGTCCCAGGGAGAGGTTGCAGGGGATGTCTGGGTATGGCATCAGTTTCATAGCAGAATGCATCTTTAGGGTCGAGCTGTGTGTCTCTTGTGTGTGTCAGGATGTCATTGTGGAAGGGGTGATCAGGCTTGTTTCCTCTGGAGATGTTGGAACAGGGGCCCTTTGTCGACTTTCTACTGGTGGGGTGTGTTCTGGATGCCACCATATCCAAGCACAGTAGGATGTGTGGTGTTTTGTCGAGAATGGAAAGCGGAGGGGAAGAGAATCATGTTTCCCTCAGCCCTTTTTTTTCACTTTAGGGTCCCGAGCTCCAGAATCCCTGTCTTGCCTATTAGTCTCGAAAGTATAGTGGATGGTGAGTGTTTATTTCTCATCCTGAGCCTGGCGAATGAGGTTCACGCTGTAGGGGAGTGTGGGCTGAATGTCAGCTGGATGGTCCTGAGCGGTTCTACACCTGACCTTAGCCAAAAGCCTGAAAAGCGATCCTGAAAGGTTCATGTGGGTGGAGGGGAGTCATTGCTTCCAGAACATTCACGCAGAGCTCAATTGTGGTATCTGATGGCCCCGTGCACTGATTGAGATTAACACATGTCCCCAACCTGGAAGGGCCAGTAGCAATGGGTCACGGCACCACATTGGACACATAGTCAAGTCCTGCACTGGGTCTTCACATTGTGACCACACGGACGCTCAGGTTCTCATCCAGATCCTGGTTTTGGGACATCACCTGCAGAGCTCACACACATGGGACAGACTGCCTTGGCATCCTTTTTCTTGAGGCAGTGCCATGTCCTGCCAGCACTCCTGCGGTCCTCCCTGATCTACCTGTTAAATAGTGGTCAGTTTCACAGTCAGGAGTTCATCATGTCTCCGGTCTCACTCCATCATGGATCGGAATCTCCCTGGCCACCTCTTTGAGACTGGCTGGCTCTACGGGGACTGCTGTGACTGGGTATTTGCTCATGTGCCACTCTGGGATTCTGAGAGTCCCATCCTCCAGCTTTTCCCAATCATTTCCGAGAGTCGCCCACCATTGGGGTAGTTGGAATTCTAACAGTGATTTGTAGTCACCATGTGTGCCCATGTAGGCTTGTAGTCATCTGTAACTGTGTGTGAGTTGGTGTTATAGCTCAGACCCCATGCTAGGCTACTAAGTGGATGAAGGGTGGAGAGACATGTCAGCAGCCCTATCCCAGATACTGACCCCTGATTTTTTTTTTTTAGAGACAATAAACATATTATTTTATTGCATTTCCCAGTCATGTTGATAAAACAATAATATTAAATAAAATATAATAAAACCAGAAGATCTGCTAAAGGTCCAGTTTAGGTAGCCATCACAAGGATCACACTTTATTTTCTTGATTCGTTCTTTAGCAATTAATCTAAATTTCAGATTTATTTTTTTATTTTATTTTTTTTAAATTTCAGATTTAAACATATTATTCAAATATGGTAAAATTTTTCATGCATAAACTAAAATTTGCACTCACCAAATACAAATATTACACCTTTCAGTTTTCAATTTTATTTTATTTTATTATTTATTTATTTATTTATTAAATTAATTTTTATTGGTGTTCAATTTACCAACATACAGAATAACACCCAGTGCTCATCCCATCAAGTGTCCCCCTCAGTGCCCATCACCCATTCACCCCCACCCCCCACCCTCCTCCCCTTCCACCACCCCTAGTTTGTTTCCCAGAGTTAGGAGTCTTTATGCTCTGTCTCCCTTTCTGATATTTCCCACACATTTCTTCTCCCTTCCCTTATATTCCCATTCACTATTATTCATATTCCCCAATGAATGAGAACATACACTGTTTGTCCTTCTCTGATTGCCTTACTTCACTCAGCATAATACCCTCCAGTTCCATCCACAATACCCTCCAGTTCCATCCACGACCCCTGATTTTTAATGTAGGTGTTCCAGTTATGTCACTGTAGCACAAGGTGTGGGCTCATGGGTTTGCTTGGCTTTTGAGGCGGCCAAGGCACCTAGTTGTTGTCTTTCTCCCAGAGAACACGAATATTAGTGGGAAGAAAGAGACACTGGGATGAGGTTTCACCATTGGGAGTGGGATTGTGAGAGACCCGTGTCAAGGCAGAGGTCCTGTAATCAGTGTGACAGGGACATTCTGTGTGAGGGGCACAGTTCCGTTTTTGTGTAGGCTAAGGAGGTAGGTCGACATCGGTAGGAAACCATGGAAACCATGTCACTGAATGGCAGTCTTAAGGAACAGACGGTGGAATTTTTTAATGGGGGGCTATTTTCAGCCTTGAGAACCCAGGTCCAGAGAGAAGGTCATCAATTAACCAAGAAACCATGAGTCCCTAAGGTCAGTGAGGGCAAGTATGCCTGGCAGGGCATGTGGTCCACAGGAATACAAAGCACAGAGATTCTGGGGACGATGATCTATGCTCCATTTCTCCTTATGGTATTTCCTATTCTGGAGTATTCCCTGCCAGGGCTGTCGAGAGTAAACCTAGCATCCCACGAGGACCCCTCCTCTAGAGTCCTTCCCTCAAAGTCCAGGACTGACGTTCCTCCCGAAAAATGGTTAAGCTGAGGACACAAAGTGATAAGCCCAAGGAAAAGAGAGCATGATTTCTGATTGAAGAAAGAACACTTTATTGAATGTTGCCTGGGTTTAAGGGGGAAAGGCTGGGATGACCCAGATGGGAGGCAAGATCCTCCTGGAGGTCCTGAGGCTCCGGGCCCCCTTAGGTGGGCGGGGGCATGGGGAACCTAAGAGCACTCTGCGGGGGCCACCTTCTTCTCCACGGTGCTCCCCTCGTGCGTGACCAGGCAGCTGAAGCTGCTGTGAGATTTCCACTTGTCAGGCGTCAGGCTCAGGTAGCTGCTGGCCGCGTACTTGTTGTTGCTCTGCTTGGAGGGCTTGGTGGTCTCCACGCCCTGGGTGACGGGGCTGCCGTCTGCCTTCCAGGCCACCGTCACGCCGCTGGGGTAGAAGTCGCTGATGAGGCACACCAGGGTGGCCTTGTTGGCGCCGAGCTCCTCAGAGGAGGGCGGGAAGAGTGTGACCGAGGGGGAGGCCTTGGGCTGACCTGAGAGGATGGAAGGCCAGCGGGTCAAATGCAGATCGCTGTTGTGTCAGCACCTACCTGAGTCCTGATGTGGGGGTACAGCTGTGTCATGTCCATGTTTTGGGCCTCAAGCGGCCCTTGCTCCCCGAGGTCACTTCACCTATGGCATTAGGATAACTCACCTTCCGTTGGGGTGCATCCGAATATACAATATTGGAAGATCTGGGCCTCCCTGTCATGTCCTCCCTCTCCATCGTCACATGACCTCATCACTCACCTTTGTACCCCAAGGGTTCCCTTGTTAGTGGATTTATCAGCAGGACACTTGGTCTTTCCCTGTGGAATCTGTCTGTCCTGTGCATGTCTTGCTAGGTCTAAGTCTGGGGTCTGTTCATGTAGACCTCATCTGTCTGTCGTGGTCCTAGGCTCTCAACCCTTTCTGGGTGGGCTTTTCTTGTCCACATTACCCCTGAATCCATCAATGCACCCCTGGCCACTTCTTCACAGAGACCCTCTGAGGCTGCTTGAGGTGGAGAGAGAGTCTGCCCCGGGATGCATTCCAGTACAGTTGGTAGAGGGTTAGTGGAAGAGGTGTATCTGGAGCAGGGGCTTTTCTTAGGGGTCCCCTTGCCCAGGACCCTATACTGGGGATCAGCCTGTACAAGCATTGCAGTGTGCCTGGCAGAGGTAGGATCAATTCCTGTCTCTGTGGGTCACCCATCACCAGATCCCCAGCATATGCTCAGAAGTCTGTCTTCCAGCATTTGTATGGGGTTGAGAAATTCTTGGGGCTTGAGTGGCTCGAGCCCCATCCTGTCTGAGGAGATCCTGCCTGTCTTGGAAGAGAAAGAGGGACCCTGCTTTCTGAAGCCACCTTGTCATAAGGTACCCTTTTTCAGTCCTTGTGTTCATTGCTGAGTCCTCCTCACATCTTGCACAGCCTAGAGTCCCTAGTAGTCCCTCACTAGACCTCACCTAGAACCCGGAGAGTAAACGACCAAAGTGTGACACACGCTTGGGCAGTTGAGCTTTGCCAGCACCTTTTCCATGTCCCATGGCCTTGCTGCCCCAGCCCAAGTCCCCCAGTCCCGTGCTTCTTCAGTCCCTCATTCCCCATATATGGGATCCAGGAGACCTGAGTGGGCTCCCTACAACAGAGTCCGGGGAGACTCCCCTAGAGACCACTCAGGATCAGAGTGAAGGCGAACAGAAGGAGTCTCTGGGACCTTCCTATCCTGTTCTGCCCTGACCAGGAGAGTCTGAGAAGAGAGAACAGGGTGAAGGGGGTTTGGGAGTGACCAAACAGAGAAGGTGTTGGGCCCCAGAGAGGTTCAGATCCCAGTCACAGTCAGGATAGAAAGCAGAGGAAAATATCCCAAAATATCACTCTGGTCCCCAAAGAGAGAGAAAGGGGGAGACTCACCGAGGACGGTCAGTTGGGTTCCTGAGCCGAACACGTAACACAGTGATACAGCCTTGAACACAAACCCTCTGTCACCCCTGCAGCCCCTCCCCTGCCCTAGGCCCATGTGCAGCTGGCTGCTTTGGAGGCTCAAAGTCCAGCCTCCTCTTCTTGGGGGCTGTTCTGGCGCGTGGGCGCTTGGGTGCAGCCCCCTCCCCACCTGTCCTTTCATTTCCTTTAATGTTTGAGTGACATATCCTATCCCAGGTAGCTTCCTGGTTGGAGCTCTGTCGATGACTCAGCTTGCCATAGACACCTGGAGAAAATGAGAGTCCTGTTTCCAACA